TCGATTCCCAGTAGGGGGCGTGCAGGAGGCAGCCGATCAATGATTCTCATCATTGATGTTTCTATCTATCTCTCCCTCTCCCTTCCTCTCTGAAATCAATAAAAATATTTTTATAAAAAGTAAAGCACATACAATTATGTCCATAATACTTGATAATGAACAATTGTGTTATTGGTTTAGGTATTTGTACACTATACTTTTTTTGTTGTTTTGTTAATCTTCACCCATGGATATTTTTTTCATTAATTTTTTAGAGTCAGTGGAAGGGGTTGGGGAGGAGAGAGAGAGAAACATCGATGTGAGAAAGACACATGGATTGGTTGCCTCCCGCATGTGCCCCGACCGGGCTGGGAATCAAACCCTCGACCTTTCCGTGCATGTATGGATGCTTTAACCATTGAGCCCACTGGCAGGGCTTGCTATACTATACTTTTAATCATTATTTTAGAGTGTACTTTTTCTACTTAAAAAAAAACCAACTTTGCACCCTGGCTGGGTGGCTCAGTTGATTGGAGTGTCTTCCTGTACACCAAGAGGTTGTGGGTTTGATTCCTGGTCAGGGCATGTACAAGAGGCAACAGGTCCATGTTTCTCTCTTTCTTTGTAAAGATCAGTAAAAAATCATATCCTTGGTGAGGATTAATAAAAAAAAGTTTGCTATAATCAGTATGCTGTGTTATACTGACAGCAGCCCCACCTATTTCATGATTGCCAAATCTCTTGATTGCATTATTTTTGCTTGTGCTTGATTTAGTGTTTTATAAATTTAGTGCAGCCTAAGTGTACAGTGTTTTTAAAGTCTACAATAGTGTACAGTAATGTCCTAGGCCTTCACATTCACTCACTCCTCACTCACTCACCCAGAGCAACTTCAGCCCTGCAAACTCCATTCATAGTAAGTGCCCTATACAGGTGTACCATTTTTTATTTTTTATACTATATTTAGACTGTACCTTTTCTATGTTTAGATTCACAAATATTTATCATTGTGTTACAGTTGCCCACAGTATTCAGTACAATATGGTAAATGTTTGTAGCCTAGGAGCAATAGACTATACCATACAGCTACCAATAGTAGGCTACACAATCTAGTTTTGTGTAAATTAACTCTATGATGGAAGAGGAGCTCAAACTTGGACCTCCTGACTACTAGTGTTCTTTCCACAGCATGGCCTTGCCTTCCAGTGACATTGTCTTGTCCTGAACCGTAATCTCATTTCAAAACCTAGTGAATAGTCAAGTGTGATTTTTCTGCAAAGGAAAGTGGAAGTGGAGAGGATGTGTACTGAATCCACCAGTTTGTTCCTTTCCACTGCTGGGCTTGGTAGTGAGGGTTCTGCCTCTGACATCTCATTTGATGACTTCATAGGAAACACTTCAGCCTTCGTATCCAACCAGTGTTAAAAGATGGGGGAAATTCAGAATTGGAGCCATGTACACAAAATAAGGGTCTGGGAAGAGCCATAATGAGTTGGGCTGATTGAGTTGGGAAGGCTAAAGGAAGTTTGCATACTGGTATCTGCAAGGAGGATTTTCCAGAGGGTAAAACAAGAGGTACTGGTTTTGTTATTTGAGCAGGAAGTTTGGCATTTATATAATACTAAAGGCCTGGTGCACGAATTCGTGCATGGGTGGGGTGGCCTGGGCCAGCTGGGGGGAGGGGCTGCTGGAGGTTGGCTGGCCCGCCCCACCCCTGATCAGGGTGGGGGGGCGATCTGGGGTGGGCCAGCCAGGGGGAGGGGCCGCAGGCGGTTGGTCGGCTGGCCCTGCCTCCTGGTCGAACTCCCAGTAGGGGACAGTTTACGTATTAGCCTTTTATTATATAGAAAAAGAGCAGGTTGAGATCCCACCTTTTAGGAGCAGTCCTACTTTTTGAAGGGAACAGGGGTAGATGTAATGAGTCTCTCCTTCTTCAACTGTAGAGGCTTCTCTCTCTGAGGCATGACTCTTAGTGGTTTCTTCTGTCACCATGGCAATAATAAATTAGAATTACCTGCTTCAGCCTTGGAGAGTCCCTTTTCCTTCTGAGAATTTAAAATAGACTGGCTCGTGCGCGTATCACACACACACACACACACACACACATACGCTAAATAAATACACAAAATAAAAAGAAATAAAATAGACTGGCACATGTCAGATGGAGGAAAGCAGGCACTGGGTCCTGCCTTCGGATTTCTCATCAGGAGATGTTGGTACTTTGTGATTCAGCTGACAAATTGAGATGGTGCCCACAAAACCAGGTCCTGGAACAGAATCCTTTGTTGCTCTGCTTCTCTGCCCTGCTGAGCATACAATTTGCATGATCCCTGTAGGAGTCCCTCCTGCTTGAGCCCTGCTGTATTTGTCCTGTGACAACAATGTGACTGCTCAGTCACTCAGCTCAGTCATTCCGCAAGCTCACTGAGAAAGCAGAGGCAGCTCTTGGTTTCTCTAGCACAAAGCTAAGAAATCCATAGGCAGCTGCAGGGCCAGGAGCTTGTGCTTAACCCTCGGGTGCCTGGCAGTCATGAGGGCATTCGTCCTGCTCCCACAGTGGGAATGACTTGGCTTTAGACCGAACAGAGTGATTTGTGGCGGAGCTCTTCAACTCCCAGGGGAGTAAAAGGACTGGTGGAGTAGAGAACAAATCTTGGCTCATATCCTGCTTTTACCACTGACCAGCTACGTGACCTTGGGTCTATTCCTTTTAATACAGCTGACCCTCTATTTCCTTAGAAGTATCCAGCTGTGCACAGATTAGGTTGTAAGGTTGCACGGGGTAATTAGGTATTCAGTAAATCCTAGTGACTCTCTTCTACTCTTAATGGTAATGGAAACATGACCTTGGGACCCTGGATGACAAATACCCTGGGGCAGGGGAAACAGTGACCACCTTCTCTCGAAGGGCCTCAAAAGAAAAGATTGCCCTGCTGGACTTGGTGGGGAGGAGGGGCCACTTTTGCCCACAGCAAATGGCACACCAGTGTTTCAGGGGTTCTCCTAGAACCCCACCTCTAACTTACTTTCCACAGTCTAGAGTCTCCATTCTGGCCAACCTAGTTGTTCCAAGCTATTGTTCTTTCCCTTTCACTGTCTGCATGTATTCCTCCTTCACTCAAACTGCTTTGTCCTCCCCAGGAAGCCTGTGTTGGTTACGTGTACCTCACCTATGCCTCACCTTGAAGGGAGGTTGTCCCTCAGTTCCCAGGCACTCAGTGTGCACTGCAGGATCCTGTACTTTCATGAAAGCGACACAGTCCAACTCAGGGAATACTGAAAAGCTAACCTTGCTTCCCCACTGACTTCCATGGAAAACCAAGAAACCACTTAGGCTAGTTAGGGCCTGGGCCTGGGGAAAGTGGTTGAAGATGGACTCTGGTTAAACACTTGACATGAGTTTTGCCAAGGCATTAGCACCGGGACTACTTGTGTAGAACTTTTCAACCCTCTAGACATGTCCATGTCCTACACAGGAGCACATTACATTGTTACTAAGAATGTGTCCACTATATGATGCCCTTTTATTTATAGTTCATTTGACAGTTCTTCAATTGGAAGGTCCCGATTTTACGTAATTACTACACTAGTAGGCTTTTTTGTTTTGTTTGAAATTTTAAGCAGTGGATACACTTAACATGAGGGTCTTGTGTACATTGATTTGCCCTGTATTCCTTTTAAAAATATATATATATATTTCTTTATTGATTTCAGAGAGGAAGGGAGAGAGAGATAGAAACATCAATGATGAGAGAGAATCATTGATCGGCTGTCTCCTGCATGCCCCCCACTGGGGACCAAGCCCGCAACCCGGGCATGTGCCCTTGGCCGGAATCGAACCTGGGACCCTTCAGTCCGCAGACCGATGCTCGATCCACTGAGCCAAACCAGCAAGGGCTGCCCTGTATTCCTTTTTAAAAAATTTTTATTGATTGATTTTGAGAGAGAGGAGAGAAACATTGCTTTGATTGCTTTGATGCATTGGTTGATTCTATGTGCCCGGGAATAGAACGGATGACACTCTAACCAACTGAGCTACTGGGCCAGGGCTGTATCTGACATCATTCCCCAGAGAGATACTGTGTCTTTTTTTAAAACAGACTGTGAGTTTCTTGAAGGCAGAGTCTTCTGTTACTTGAATCTCCCTTCATTGTACCTGGGAGTGAGGCAGTGATTTATATGCTTAGGGATGAAAGGGGCCAAACATGTTCTTTACCCTGTAGTTCTCAAGGCTCTTCAGGTGGTTCTTTTCTTTCTCTAGAGCGAGTTATCTAATAACCAGAGAGGACTCTGATCTTTGCCTGTTCCTGATGTTCACTCTCATTGGCGAGTGGGGAGGTGTGTGTGAGGGGGTGCCCTGTGGTATGAAAGCCCCACTTAGCTTCTTCCCCACACTTTCTTCTAATGCAGACTGGGGAAAATATAAGTGTGGTGAGGGTGGGCCAGGGGAGCTCAGAGGGGCCAGCACAGAAACCATAAATGAAGTCAGGTGAGTCAGCTGGTAAAGGGTGATAAAAGGCACTCTGCTGGGGATGCGAGGTCAAAGGTAGCGCCTCTTCAGTGGGCCTAGTGCTCAGAAATGGAGCACTTCCCTCTGCCGTTAGGAACCTCCTAAATGTCACATACTGGCATCCTATTAGCCCGCCGAAAGGCCTTACATCCTGTCAGGTGGTTGGTTTGTCCATAGCATCCTGAGCTCTGCTTGGGTGAGCCAGAGAAGGAGGAGAATGGGCCATGACACCAGGGCCCAGGCAGAGGCAGAGAGACCAGAATAGATGATAAACTGGGGGGTAGGGAGCTGACATGGGAGTGAAACCAGGGAAGTCACTGAGGTAAGGAAAGGTTTCTGGACTTGGGAAGGACTGATAAAGGAGAGAGAAGGGGGCAGTCTCCTAACCTGTGAAGGAACATCCAGAGCCAGACTGAGTTAAGTACCCCAGAAGATGAAGCCTGAGAATGGGATTTCAGAGTCTAGCCAGGAGGGGAAAGTGTGAAGTTCTGAGGTCCTTCCTCACATCCCTCCACCCTGCTAAAATCCCCAGGACTTCGGGCACAATGGAAGACAAACGCAACATCCAGATCATCGAGTGGGAACACCTGGACAAGAAAAAGTTCTACGTGTTTGGTGTGGCAATGACAATGATGATCCGGGTCAGCGTCTACCCATTCACCCTCATCCGCACTCGGTTGCAGGTTCAGAAAGGCAAGAGCCTCTACCATGGGACCTTTGATGCTTTCATTAAGATCCTGCGAGCAGATGGTGTGACTGGCCTCTACCGGGGGTTCCTGGTCAACACCTTCACCCTCATCTCGGGCCAGTGCTATGTCACCACTTACGAGCTCACCCGGAAGTTTGTATCTGATTACAGCCAGAGCAACACAGTCAAATCACTTGTGGCTGGTGGCTCGGCCTCTCTCGTGGCCCAGAGCATCACAGTGCCCATTGATGTGGTCTCTCAGCACCTGATGATGCAGCGTAAGGGTGAGAAAGTGGGCCGCTTCCACGTGCGAGGGAACCCAGAGGGACAAGGAGTAATTGCCTTTGGCCAAACCAAGGACATCATCAGGCAGATCCTGCGGGTTGATGGGCTTCGAGGCTTCTACCGAGGCTATGTGGCTTCACTGCTGACCTACATCCCGAACAGTGCTGTCTGGTGGCCCTTCTATCACTTCTACGCAGGTAAGCAGGGACCCAGGAGAGGGGGGTGTGGGTTTACTAATGTGGCTAAGATACCCTTGTTCTGTACATGTGACAGAGGGAGATTTAATGGGAGAATGGGCCATTCATTCAGCAAACATTTGATTCCAGAGGATTCAAAGATGAATAATACATAGTTCTTTCCTTCAGGGAGCTTATATTAAAGTGGGGGAATCAGACAAGTAGAGTAGATTATTGTAGACCATTGTGCCATGCCAGCACGGCCAAGGGTGAACCTGAGGAGGGGCGGTGAAGGATTAAAGAAGACAGACAAAGAGAATACAGTTGGGGCTGGGTGGATCTTCCATTCCTGGATGAGGGCACAGAAAGGTCCAGCCTCCAAGCCCAGGCTTTATTTATTTTTTAATTATTTTTTAAAAAAATATATTTTATTGATTTTTTTACAGAGAGGAAGGGAGAGGGATAGAGTTAGAAACATCGATGAGAGAGAAACATCGGTCAGCTGCCTCCTGCACGCCCCCTACTGGGGATGTGCCCACAACTAAGGTACATGCCCTTGACTAGAATCGAACCTGGGACCCTTTAGTCCGCAGGCTGAAGCTCTGTCCACTGAGCCAAACCAGTTAGGGCCCAGGCTTTATTTTATAGTCAAAGCAAAACAAGGAAGTAGTCAACATGGTTGCAGTGTTGTGAGTTTCACCTTGTTTTGGCAGCACTTGCTGCACCTCCCGCGGCCCATTAGCTACCTAGGAAGGAACTAGGAAGGGGCTATAAGGTTAAATTTAATTATGCTAAGAGGGCTCTGCCCTCCAAGCTAGGACTTTTTTGTGGCCCTGCCACAGGTCAGTCAGAGGCTTGACCCTATAGCCGCTCCCTACAGACCATAGAATGTATTCTTTATGCATTGCAATCAACTAGGGTTAGTGGAATATTGGCAGATAATTGGAAGATAGAAAAGGACAAAATTAAGGGGTATTTGGGATTTGAAGATAAAGTTAATGAATAATAGTGAGGTTTTGAGTTGGATGCCTTTCCTCGGCATTGTTAAATTCAAGATGTGATATAACCATGAACCTCTGCACTCCTGTATTTTTTATTCATAACACGTTTTACTTCTTTTTAAGTATTTCCCAGAAATGGGATTACTGTGTTAAAAGATAAGATTTTTGAGAGCCTCAATAAACATTGCCTAATTTCCTTATGAAAGGGCAGAACACATTGCCAAGAGTGTGCCTGCTGCCCTTGACATGGCAGTTTTGGGTAACTAGCAAATTCCAGTTAGGGCAGTCTATGCTTACAACCTCCCTAATTCCGCTGCTGGCCTCTAACGCTTGGCAGTGGGCATTCTGTCTTATCCCATCTGGAACTTTTCTAACCAGATTTTATAAGGACTTCCTAACCTAGAATCATTTTGTTTCTATGGCACTGTACTTTTATAGTTCTGTTTTTCTGATTGTACCTCTTCTTCCTCCTCCTCCTCCTTTTTTCCTTCCTTTTTTCCTCCTTCCTTTTCCCCCTCTATCGCTTTCTCCTTCTTAACTAGCTCACTTTCTTTTTTTCCTCTCTGTTTCTTTCTTCTTCTGTTTAACACAAGAGTATCTGGTAAGCCCTGACCGGTTTGGCTCAGTGGATAGAGCGTCGGCCTGCGGACTGAAGGGTCCCAGGTTCAATTCCGGTCAAGGGCATGTGCCTTGGTTGCGGGCAGTTAGGGGTGTGCAGAAGGCAGCTGATTGATGTTTCTCTCTCATCAATGTTTCTAACTCTCTACCCTTCTCCCTTCCTCTCTGTAAAACACTCAATAAAATATATTAAAAAAAAAAAAGTAAAATTCACTTACCTGGACTCTTCTCCTGATCCTTTGTATCAGATTCTGTGGGAATGGAGCCTGGCAATCTCTTTGTCTTTTTTTAAAATATATTTTTATTGATTTCAGAGAGAAAGGGAGAGGGAGAGATAGAAACATCCACGATGAGAATCATTGATCAGCTGCCTCCTGCATGCCCCCCACCGGGGATCAAGCCTGCAACCTGGGCATGTGCCCTTGACCGGAATTGAACCCGGAACCCTTCAGTCTGCAGGCTGATGCTCTATCCACTGAGCAAAACCAGCTAGGACGAGCCTGGCAATCTTAATGTTAAAAAAAACTTCCTAGGAAATGTGAGCATGTTCTCTGGAGTCTATCTTCTCCCTTCTCTCTTCATTTGATTTCATTTACAAATGAGTTGTACTTTTCTAATATGTCCCAAAATCTCTATTTCCATTTCCAGACTAACCTCTCCAGAGCTCTGCTCCAGAAAAACATTCTGACTGACCTCTCAACTTGGATGCATGTATTTACATCTGAAATTTTACCCTATGAACTATTCTTTTTTCATATATACATATTCTAGTGGCCTGGTGCACGGATTCATGCACATTGAAAGGAAATTAATTAGGAGAAATATTTTAATATTAGAGGCCCGGTACACGAAATTTGTGCACTGGATGGGGGGGTCTCTGAGCCCAGCCTGCACCCTCTCCAATCTGGGACCCCTCGGGGGCTCTATGAACTATTCTTCATCCCAATTTGGTTTTCCCTTCTGACTTCTTTCTATGTGTCAGTGGTCATGTTATTTTCCAAATTGCTGAGACTGAAGCCTTGGGGATTGAGCTTGGCCACACCCTCTTCCTTGGCTCCACATCTAGTCCTTGTGACCCCAAAATGTCTTTCCAAACTTTCTCTCCATTCCTGCTGCCTTTCCTGGAAACCATGCCATGTTACCACCTTCCTGGACAGCAGCATCAGCCTGTTCTCTAGAAGCCTCTTCCTTTCTATCACTCACTTCCTACTGGATTAACTTTTTAAACTCTGTGTTGTTCAGTAGATCCACTGCTGGCTGAGTAAAATCCAAACACTTCAGCCTGGCTTTAGCCTCCCTCTATAGTGAAACCACGTGCTGCTCCCCTGTGTATAGTCTGTGCTGCAACCAGCCAGCTACGTACAGTTCCTCAACCATGTGTCATCTCTCCTACCTTTGCTTTGTTCATATCACACCTCTGCTTCAATGCCTTCCAGGGACACCTACCAGGGTGAAATCATGACTTAAGTGCTCCTTATTGCCTCCTATCCCATCCTCTCCATGTAGCCCTTAACCCAGAAGTGACCTTTCCCTCCTTTCAACCTCCATTATATTGCTTGAATCTTTCTTAAGGCTGTTATTACATTTTCCTTGGTGTTATTTGTGTGTGCCTTATCTCTTATACAATGTGGAAAGATTCTTTTATTTTTAATGCATATTTTCCAGCTATATTGATATATAATTCACTGGAAAGGTTCTTGGATGGGGGAGGAAACTAGCATTTGTTGACTCTCTACCATGTGCCAGGCTCTGTGACCACTGTGTCTCTTAGACTCTGGTGAATTGAAGTTCTCAGTAAATATTTGTTGAATGAGTAGACTGGTTCTCATTATCCCATTTTGCTTAAAATCTACCAGTCCTGACTTGTGGGCATTTAGAATAAAATCTAATGCTTCCCGTGGTCAACACTGGTCTACATGATCTGGCTCCTATCTGCCTCTTCAGCCCCATCTTGTGCTACTCTCCCCTTCCTCACTCTGGTCCATCTTCACTGCCTTTCTCTCAGTTTCTAACACACCAAGCTCTGTTCTCACCTCAAAGCTCTTGCAAATAATGTTCTTTCTGCCTGGAATACCCTCTCCCCTGTTCTTTGTGTGGCTGGGTCTTTCTCATGCTTCAGGCCTTGGCTTCCATGCCACCTTTGCAGAGTGGACTTCTTTAACTACCCAGCTAGAAAGAGGGTTCTTTCTGTTTTCTTTTTCAGCACCTTGTTTGCTTCAGAGCACTTGTTACAATAGCACTTGTGATAATTTGCAGTTATTTTATCTCCAACCCCAGCTTCTTAATTAGACTGTAAGGTCCATAAAGGCATTTCCCTGTCCATTTGTTTTATGTCTAGTGCTTATCTCAGTGCTTGGCATCTAGTAAGCATTAAACAAAAATGATTTATATTACATGTCCAAAGTTATTTAGCCAGGAGAGACTTAAACCAAGTCAGATAATAGGTGCCCAGTAATCACTTGTTGAATGAATAATGGAGAAGGAAAGACATGGGGCTCTTTCCCCCACCCTCTTGCCTTTGTTTTTCCATCTCTCCCTAAGCCCCAGGAAAATGGCATGTATGCATGTCTAGAATTGGCATCTGGATCCCACTGCAGCTTACAGGCCTGAGGGCTAGTGCAGACAGGCCCAAGGAGGCTGGCAATGCCAGCCCAGATGCTACCTTTAATGGTTATGAAATGCTTTCTTGTCAAGAGAAACAGGACACCCATGAGGAGGAGTCACCAGTTCACTTTGTTTCTATTTGTATGCTGACCCTGGGGAAGAAAGTGATTAGAAATCAGGGGAAGATGGTTCTGGTAGGGCTTAAGGAATTCTGCCATGCTGCTGGGTCTTAGAAGCTCTCACTTCTGCCCTGCCGACCCCTACCATCCTACTTATCCCCTAATATTTAGTTGCCTGGCTACAAAATACCCAAAGTAGGAGCATGAGAAAAAAATTTAAAGGTATTATGGTGATTGAATTGTAGAGAGAAAACTGAGGGAATCTTTGAAGATGATAAATCTATTTTACATCCAATCTCAGAGGAAAAGCCAAAGTCCTTGCAATGGTTTCAAGGTCCTAAATGACTTACCTCCTGGACCTCATCCAGTGGTCTCTCCCTCATTCTGCTCCAGGCATCTGGCCTTGCTGCCCTTTGAAGACTTAAGGTGTCTCAGGACCGTTACATAGGATGTTACTTCTGCTTGGAAAGTTCTGTCCACAACAGAGCCTTGTAGCTTGCACTCTTCTTTAGGACTTCGCTCAAACTTCACCTTCTGAAGAGGGCTTTCATGACCACCTTGTTTAAAATGGCAACCCATTCACACCCTACCTTTGGCGTTCGTTTCCTGTCTCCTTTCCTGCTTTATTTATGTATTTATTTTTTAAAGATATATTTTATTGATTTTTTACAGAGAGGAAGGGAGATAGTTAGAAACATTAATCGGCTGCCTCCTGCACACCCCTACTGGGGATGTGCCGCAACCAAGGTGCATGCCCTTGACCGGAATTGAACCTGGGACCCTTCAGTCCGCAGGCTGACGCTCTATCCACTGAGCCAAACCGGTTAGGGCCCTGCTTTATTTTTATCTAGCTAGCACACATCACCTTCTGACATAACTATATATTTTGCTTTTTGTTTGTTTATTCAGGCAGTTAGAATGTAAATGTCACAAGGGCAAGGATTTTGAGGCTCTTTTATTCACTGTTATATCCTCAGAACCCACAGGGACTGGTTCATGGTAGCCATTCAGTACATCTTCATTGAATAAATTAATGAGCTCTTGTCTTTCACTTCTAGAGAGAGTAAAGCAAAAAATTCAATTGTAGGTGAACTTCTCAGTGATACTGGGAATGGGTGAATCTGGGTATTATTCAGTCTTCTTTTGTTTTGTTTGTTAATCCTTACCTGAGGATATTTTTTCCATTGATTTTTAGAGTGGAAGGGAGAGGGGGGAGGGAGGGAGAGAGAGAGAGAGAGAGAGAGAGAGAGAGAGAGAGAGAGAGAGAGAGAAACACATAGATGTGAGAAGACACATCGATTGGTTACCTCCTGAATGCAACCAACTGGGGATGAGGATCTAACCTGCAACCCAGGTACGTGCCCTCTAATCACTGAGCACACCAGCCAGGGCTATTATTCAGTCTTCTTCATCAGCATTTTGAAAAATAAATTTTTGTTTCTTAATATAGGCTGTAGGGTATGACTTTCTCTTTTAATTGTAATTTTGTTGTTATTTGTAAAAACACATGATTCAGAATTCAAAAGGTAGGGCCCTGGCCAGTGTGACTCAGTTGGTTGGAGTGTTATCCTGTGCACCAGAAGGTCAAGGCTTTGATTCCAGGTCAGGGTGCATGCCGCAGTTGTGGGTTCGATCCCTGGGGGCGTGTGCGAGAGGCAACGGATTGATGTATCTCTCACATCGATGTTTCTTTCTCCCTCTCTCTTCCTCCATCTCTAAAATCAATTTTTTAAAAACTTCTTAAAAAATTCAAAAGGTAGGAAAGAAGGGTATACTGTGAAAAAGCCCCCATCCACCACAGTCATACAACTCCCTGCTTTAAAGACAATCAGTGTTACCAGATTTTTTTTTAAATATTTTTTTTTATTTCAGAGAGGAAAGGAGAGGGAGAGAGAGAAACATCAGTGATAAGAGAGAATCATTGATTGGCTGCCTCCTGCATGACCCACACTGGGGATTGAGCCTGCAATCCTGACATGTGCCCTAACCACGAGTCAAACTGTAACCTCCTGGTTCATAGGTCGATGCTCAATCACTAAGCCACGCTGGCTGGGCAGTGTTACCAGCTTTTAATGTATCCAACCAGTTATTCAGTGCATATAATAGAAAATATGTAGTGTGTGCTTTTCTAGCCTATGGGTTGGGCGAAGCAGAACACAAGCATAAGATGGTTATATCAGGAAGGATTTCTGTCCATCAGATGAAAGGAGTCAGCAAGCAAAGAGGTTTTGAAATTTCCCTCTCCAGAGATGTAACCAAGATGACTTATGGATGGAGCCTCAGATTTATAATTTTTTGTTGGTTCAGAAGGAAGCAAAGAGAAATAAAGATGGGAGTTATGCAGATGGCGGGCTCTGAGGTGGCTAAGGATGGAAGGTTTGTCATCATTGGCCCAATTGGTAGAAGCAGTGTGAGGGCAGACAGGGTGGTACCTCATGTCTTAAGGCATTGTCTTTCCCTCCATTCCAGAGCAGCTCTCATCCCTCTGTCCTAAGGAATGCCCTCACATTGTGTTTCAAGCCATCTCAGGGCCCCTGGCTGCAGCTACAGCTTCCATCATCACCAATCCCATGGACGTCATCCGAACCCGAGTGCAGGTAAGACCAGCCTCCACCACAACCCTCCTCCCGCATTACCCATTAGAAGTGTGATCTTTAGGCCTTCCAGCCTTCCCCTGACCTCTCTGTGCCATGGCTGTGTAGGTCAGCCAGCATCTCTTGGTCATCCGAGCCCCTTCCTTGTGGTTATGACTTAGCATTTACAGAAACCAGCTGAGCACTTTGAAGCACCTAGAATGTTTTTCTCATCCTGTCTGCCAGCTTGCATGCTTCTGTTCCTTTACTTGCCCATGCCTCTAGGAATTCTTGCTGGTTTCTTCTTACAGCCTTTTATCCTATTAGCCTAGCCTATAACCACCTTTTCCTTACCTGCATTTAGAAATATCAATTTCAGTTCATTTCCTAGGTCTGTTTGGTTTCTCTCTGTGAGCTCTCTACAGGCAGTGAAATTGTTCTTTTTCCCCCCCTTTTGTGCCCACCAGAGAATATGTTTTTATTGATTTTAGAGAGAGAGGAAGGGAGTGAAAAATGCTAATGTGAGAGAGAAACACTGATCAGTTGCCTCCCGTATACGCCCTGACTGGAGATTGAACCTGCAACCTGGATATGTGCCCTAACTGGGAATTGAACCCGCAACCTTTTTATGTGCGGGACGACACTCCAACCAGCTCAGCCACACCAGCCAGGGTGAGACTGACTGTTCTTGAATAGGTTTCACAGATGGTATTGTGTGGACTCAGCAAAAACACCAACAAAGCCCTTGGTAGTGCTGTGCTGAAGTTATAGTTCCTGTCTTCAATCAGCTCAAAAACAATATCAGGGTACCTAGTTCAAGGAAATAGAATTTGAATGATGACATTAAAATATAAATGGCAGGTTTTGCTGTATAAAGCTTTAAGTCAAGAGAATGGAGGGTTTTACTATCTGATTTGGATAGCTTCAGAGGCAAGCTGAGGAGGGGAGAGAAGAAAAATAACCATAACAGCTTGGGAGTGCAGTTAGCTTCCCTAACACCAGGATGTTGGGATGGAGGTGGCTGGTAAATCTAGGTGTATTTTTTTTAATCATTTTTTTATTTTTCAATTACAGTTGACATACAATACTGTATTAGTTTCAGGTGTACAACATAATGATTAGACATTTATATAAATTACAAAGTGATTATCCCGCTAAGTCTAGTACCCACCTGACACCATCCATAGTTATTACCATATTCCCTGCTGTACTTTACACCCTGGTACTGTTTTTCTAACTGGCAATTTGTACATCTTAATCCCTTCCCCTTTTTCACCCAAACCCCCTCTCATCTGGCAACCATCAAAACGTTCCCGTAGCCCTAGCCAGTTTGGCTCAGTGGTTGGATTGTCAGCCCTTGGACTGAACAGTCCTGGGTTCAATTCCAGCCAAGGGAACGTATCTCAGTTGCAGGCTCGATCCCTGGCCCCGGTCAGGGCAAGTGCAAGAGGCAACCAATCCATGTGTCTCTCTCACATCAATGTTTCTCTCTCTGTCTCTCCCCCTCCCTTCCACTCTGTCTAAAAATCAATGGGAAAAATATCCTTGAGTGAAGATTAAAAGAAAAAAATGTTGTCTGTTTCTGTTTTGTTTATTTAGTGTTTTAGATTCCACATATAAGTGAAATCTTATGGTATTTGTCTTTCTCTGACTTAATTCATTTAGCATAATGCCCTCTCAGTCCATTCATGTTGTTGCAAATGGTAAGATTCCATTCTTTTTAAAAGTTGAGTAATATTCCATTGTATATATGTACCACATCTTCTTTATCCATTCGTCAATCGATGGACACTTAGGTTGCTTCCATATCTTGGCTATTGTAAATAATGCTTCAGTTAACAGGGATGCATGTGTCTTTTCGAATTAGTGTTTTGGGTTTCTTCCAATAAATACCCAGAATTAGAATTGCTGGGTCCTTCTTTGCTTTTGTGATGAACTCCTTTATCCTTCTCTGGGAAAATCTAGATATTTTTATCTCAAGAAAGAATGCCCTCCCCCCACCACACACATTTGAAAATGAGTACTAGTAAGCTGGCATCTGATTAGTTTGTAAATAATAAAGTACAGAGGTTCCATCTTCATTCTCTCCTGAGCCTTGTCCTGGGTGTTCCGCAAGGAGATCCAGGGAAAGGATAGGTCTCTACTCGGAGGTGCTTCCAGGCCAGAGGAGACAAAGTGCATATGAGGCCAGAGGTACAGCTGAAAAGCCCTTGACGTGACCGAGGATAAGTGTGAGGGTTAGGGGCGCAGAGGACTGAGAGGAAGACGGGAGTGTGGAGAAGGGTGTTAAAGGAGGCAGGACGAGTGGGTAGATGTTCTTAGCCATAGGTGGGACCACCTTGTGAAGGTCATACAGTACAGGAGGAGGTATAACAAGGAGTGCACCTGTCCTGCCTTGACTGAGGGTCTGAGTGGATGGTATCTAAATATATAGTTTGGTGGCAGGATTTAGGGGGAGGGGGAGGGGGCAGGACTGTTGAGAAAGAAAAGATTCCTGCCTTAGCCAGGCTTCCAATGTGATAGGGAAGATAGGTGCCTGGGAAACAACAGAGTCAGAGGGGGGGACTCCAGCCATGGGGGTTCAGAGAGATTGAGATGATCAGAGTCAGAATCACAGACGGGCAGAGCTGCAGAGGGCCTTAGAGGTGATTGAATCAGCCACCCTGAGACCAGAGAGAAGCACCCAGTCCAAAGCTCATCGCCTGTAGTTTATCTAATGACAGTAATGACTAATGCTTATTGAACACTTACTGTCTGCCAGGTCCTGTTCTCAACTTTTACAAGTCTTTTGTTTACCGCTCAGAACCACATGGCATAGGGACTATCACTGTTTTATATTCAAGGAAACTGAAGTGCACAGAGTGAGTTAAATTACTGAGGTTATGCTGTTAGTAAATTGGGGAGCAGAATTCAAATTCAGTTTTCCCTAAGGCAGAGGGAGAATGAGCAGAGGAGCTTGGACTGCAGACCGTGACCCTCCACTGTGTTGACTTTTCCAGGTTGAAGGCAAGAACTCCATTATCCTGACCTTCAGACAGCTGATGGCAGAAGAGGGGCCTTGGGGCCTCATGAAGGGCCTCTCAGCCAGAATCATCTCAGCCACACCCTCCACCATTGTCATTGTGGTAGGCTACGAGAGCCTCAAGAAACTGAGCCTCAGACCTGAGCTGGTGGACTCGAGACACTGGTAACAGTGTGGGAGAGAAGCCTCTGTTTCCCACACGACTCTGGGTAGGGGACAGAGTAGGGAGACAGCACCCGCTCTAAGTGCCCCTACCACATACCTAGCCCTGCCCTGGGCCAGGTGCCCTGTAGGGGACAGGAACTGAGACTTTGAACTGCTCTTGCTGAAGAGGCTCCACACCTGCATCTCCTGCCCCCATTATTTAGTTCTCCTACCCAACTGGGCTCCCTCACTCGGTCCCTGTACTCCATCCTGCCCTAAGGAACCCACCCTCCCACTAGTCCCACTCTCTGCCTCCCGTTAAGGCTTCTTCTGGTTTCCCTTTCCATCTGTGTCCCTGAGATCCTGGTAAGAGCTGTACATAGAGCTTGCTTACTGCCACTGGTTCTTCCACTTGGGCCGTCAGCCCAGATTCCAAGCAGTTTGCCATCAGCCTTTTCCTGCTTCGTCTCTTAGGCTTATTTTTATTTTGGGACTGATTTGCCCACCAGACTACTCTGCTTTTTCCTGCCACTGGGGGCAAGGTGCCAGGCACTTTTGCACAGGGAGTAGGCACAGCAAAAGCTTCAGAGTGCTCATCCTCTCTTCGGAGTTATTAGATGGGGAGAAATGTTAATACTTTATTTTGTGTGTTTATATTGTTTTAACATCTGTGAACCAGGTTACTGTCTTTGTCCTGCTAAAGCACCTGTCCAATCCTGCAGTCAGAGCCCACCCTTTCCTCAGAAAAATACAATGTAGCTTTTCCTTCCATCTCAGTTCCCTATCCCTTCCATGTCCCTGCAGTCCCTGCAGTCCCAGGACTTACAAGCTGCTGGCTTCCCCTGGCCCAGACGACTACGGTGGTAGGCACAATTCTAAGTAGATCAGGCTGCCCGGGGCACACGGGACTTGGAGCACTACCCTGAAAAGTCCGAGTGAGAGAGTAGCTGGCTTGGATAGGCCAAGAGGGGGTGTGTGCCCCAGCCCATCTCCCAGACCAGCTGAGCCAGGCCTAGGAGAGGGCAGCTGTAATACATCTATATCCCAATCACTTGGACTCACGGAAACGGATGTTGTCTCAGTCTCTGATACGCGGAACTGTTTGTGTTTTCTTCTCCCCAATGTGAAGTCATGCCAGTCATGGTACCCTCTCGAGTAGCGGTCGCCAACCAGTGGTCCTCGGATCACTGCTGGTCCGTGAGGTCTGTGAGGTCCGAAAGGTTGGCGACTGCTGCTCGAGAGGGATGCTTGGAAGAGAGCGGGTCAGGAAGTCGCCCAATACCAGGACCACTACACACCAGCCTGATACTGCCGAGATTACCTGTTGATGCTCTCAGGAGCTAAGTGAGGAGCGTTCCTTCCCTGCCTCATCCTACCGTGTCTACCAAGCCTGTGTTGCAGGTGAGAGAGGTGCAGCAAAAAGGATGAGAAGAAGGCATATCAAACCCTGCACTTGTACTTGAGACATTTGGCCAGGATGATCCTTCAGACCTTCTTATTGGTCCCACCCCCTGGGAAGGGCCATGGTGCCAATGGAAAGGTGCTAGCTACCTTTTGAAGCCTTGCTGTTTCTTACAGCTGCCCCACATTCTGTCGCCCTGGCCAGATCAGAATCTGAAAGACACATTTTTCTACCTTCGCCACTGACACTGCCCATCTTGGTCTTTTATCTTTGAGGGTTATTTTCCCTTATTTTGGTTTGCTTTTTTCTTGCACTTTGTCAGATTCCTTCCCACCCACAAACGGTCATCCGAAGGGTTAGCCCACAGATCATTCTGAATCTTCTGCCCTCAGTCATCCCTTTCACATTGGAAGAACCATTAACATAACAGAAGCCAGCCTTCTTTCTCTGTCTTTTGTTCCATTGATTTAAAAAAATATATATTTTATTGATTTTTTACAGAGAGGAAGAGAGAGGGATAGAGAGTTAGAAACATCGATCAGCTGCCTCCCGCACCACCCCCCCCCCCCCCCAAAATGGGGATGTGACCGCAACCAAGGGACATGCCCTTGACTGGAATTGAACCTGGGACCTTTTAGTCCGCAGGCCGACGCCCTATCCCCTGAGCCAAAACGGTCAGGGCCATTGATTTTTTTCTTTTAAAGTGGAAGGGTGGGGAAGGGGGAGAGAGAGAGAGAGAGAAACATTGATGAGACATCAGTTGGTTGCCTCCCCGCCCCCACCCCAACAGGGGCGGAGATTGAACCTGCAACCCAAGTACCTGTCCTTGACTGTGTCCTTGACGGGGAACAAAACTCCAGACCCTCTGGTGCACAGGCCGACACTAACCACTGAGCACGCCAGCCAGGGCAGCCCTCTCTCTGTCAACTCACTCTAGTGACCCTTTTGGAGATTGTTTTTCAGCCCACACCTTCCCCTCCCTGAAGCTTGTCCCCACTGGGCAGAGTGGGTGAAGTATCACGGACAGGGGTCCTCTCCTGCCTCACGCCTTAGAATGGTTCTCCTTCCCAGACTCCTTTCCTTCTGATTTATTTTATGGTACAGTATTTCATAGCCATTTACCCATATTCTCGTTCTCTCTCTCTCTCTCTCTCTCTCTCTCTCTCTCACACACACACACACACACACATTTCAAAGGATGATGAGTTTTTTTGTTTGTTTTTAGTGAAAGGAACCCCTGCCCCCTACTTCCCTAATTGGGTTCGAATAAAACATGTCTTGGTGGGACTGGGACAGTGGGCTTCCGTTTTCCCAGGACCATGGAGCGGACCAGCTGGCAGTTCTCATGTGCCGGTCCAGAGCCCAAACTGGAAGAAACTTCGGAGGCCAGGCAGACGGGAAAGCTGGTGGGAAAGCTGATGGGCTATCGAGGGACCGGGGAATGAAATAGACGCGGTTAACATTTGATAAAGTGGACTCTTGTGAATACTAACTGCGAACACTCATTCACTGTTGCACTGTACGAAGTCTTTGAAGTGTAATTAAAAGTTTGTATTGAGCCCTGAGCTTTTGCTGGCGCTTGTTTTGCCGGCCTGTGGATTAAGTACTAAAGTGCACTACACGCTACTCACCTGTGCACAAGCCTCGTCCTCCAGCAGTTTCCCCACCCCGTGGGCGACTCGGTGACGGACATTCCGCTGCTTCCAATCGGACGCGCCCAATGCCGGGAGTGGCCAATCGGGGGCTCCGGTGGGCGGGACATCCTGGCCAGTTAGATTTGGCGGTTCCATTTTAAGATGGCCGAAGCAAGCAACGCCAGTGTTGGCAGCGGCTGTGAGGAAAAAGGGCGGGAGGGGTCGTCCCCCGAACCCGTTTCCCCTGACACTACCATTTCGAGGATGAAGCTTCTCGACACCACAGTGGATACTTTCCTCCAGAAGCTGGTCGCCGCTGGGAGGTAAGGTGAAGGAAGTGGGGTGAGGGCAAATCTCAATAGGTTGGCGGGTGAGAGGCAAAGAGGAGCGAGTTTGGGCCGCCAGAATGTGAATCCCGCGAGACCAGCTCGGGCAAAGGCAAACGGCAGTCACGTGGGCCCCGGGTGGGAGGCGTGTGGTCCGAGCGGGCGGAGGCTCCGCGCTGTGTGCCGACTTGGGGCGACTGATTCCCGCGCCCTCCAGTCAGTCTGGTTTGGACCAAAACTTCAGGTGGCGGAGGGGAAAGATACCGGCTCCGGAACTAGAACCAGGACCTGACCGCTCTGTGCCTCCGTCTCTCATCAGTGAAATGGCAACAATAGGACCTTTCTCAGCTGGTAGTTTGGAGAATTAAGTACACGAAAGGCGCTTAGATAGTGCCTGCCACATATACAGCATTAGAATTGTATTGTCATAGGAATAATAATACCTTCACTGGGTGGTTGTGTATTACCATAGAAACATGTTTCCTGTCTGATTTTTATTTTCCACGAACAGTACTGTAACGTTATTGGACACTGAGGAGTTTTGCCCGGGATCCCACCACTCAGCATGTTGAGGAAACACTGTTATTACTGGAGGCGGTTCGATAAAGCCCGCTCTCTCTCCGGCCCTGAGTCCCCACACCTGTGCTCTGGCCCCGGCAGGTGTGATGCAGTCGCTTGGGCGGCCTCCCCTGCAGGGAAGGGCTTGTGGGTTTGATTCCCGGTGAGGATGGGCAGGAGGCAGCGGATCTAACCCTAACCCTTTCTCTTTCTCTCTCAAAATCAATTTTAAAATCTTAAAAAAAAAAAAAATACTCCATCTTCTCCCAATCCTGTCTTCTCCTAACCTCCTTCCCTCTTGTTCTTCCCTCCCTCCTTTCCTACAGAGACCTCCTTTCATTTACCCACATCTTCGCACATTGATTCACTGAGAAATATATTTTTTAAAAATATATTTTATTGATTTTTTAGAGAGAGGAAGGGCGAGGGATAGACAGAAACATCATCGATCGGCTGCCTCCTGCACCGCCCCCCACGGGATGGAGCCGGCAAACAGGGCACGGGCCCTGACCAGGAACTGAACCGTGACCTCCTGGTTCATAGGTCGACTCAACCACTGACCACCGGCCGGGCCCCTGAGAAATGTTTGAGTGCCTCTTCTGCCAGGCGTTGTGTCCGGTGCTGGGGAAGCAGACGGCCCCTTATTGGAGCTAACATTCAGTGGGCAGAGCCACTCAGTAAACAAAACAGTCACAGCTGGGTAAGGTAATGAACAGGTGATGTGATAGGAGCAGCTTGGGGGGAAAGGAACACACGAGCTAGGCTGGTTAGGGGAGCCCGCTCTGAGGAAGTGACATTAAACGGAAACGTGAACAGTGAGAGAGAGAACTAGAGAAAGTGCATAGGCAAAGGGTAGAGCTTGTGCAAAGGCCCCAAGGTGGTCCGGGCATTCTGGGAACTGGCAGAGGCCTGCTTGGCTACAACATCATGATCAGAGGGAGATTAAAATCAGGAGGCTGGACAGACAGGTGACATCCTTATCATCTAGGGTCTAATTTCAGTAGTATTGAATTTGATAAAATAATTGTTATTTTTATGGGCCATTTATGACACACCATTATATGTGCAGGCAAGATACATCCTTTGATTGATTGATTTTTCCCTACTCATTTTTGTCCTTTCCCCTCCCCATAGGCCCTGCTTTCTTTTCTCTTGCCTGTATGCCCTCCATTTATTCATTTATTCATGTACAAATATTTATCAACCACCTACAATGTCCCAGGCTCTGTTCTAGAAGCTGGAGATATAACAGTGATCAAGACAGAACAGTTGTTGCTCTCATGGAGTAGACATTCTAGTTCCATAAAGAAAAATAATCAGGGTAAAGGAATAGAAGTGGGGAAATAGGTCTGTGTTAGTGTGAGTGCAGTGAAGTGACATTTGATTATGTTTGTTTTCTTGTACAATATGTTGTTTTGTGTGTATGAATGATAATTGTGCTACATACCTTTTTTCACTTAACACCTTTTTTTCACTGTGCAAGGTTTATTTGGTGTTTTATTTATTTGAAAATATATTTCTTTATTGATTTCAGAGAGGAAGGGAGGAGAGAGAGATAGAAACATCAATGGTGAGAGAGAATCATTGATTGGCTGCCTCCTGCACACTCCCTACTGGGGATCGAGCCCGCAACCCAGGCATGTGTCCTTGGCCAGAATTGAACCTGGGACCCTTCAGTCCGCAGGCTGACGCTTTATCCACTGAGCCAAGCCAGCTAGGGCTATTTGGTGTTTTAGTTGGTGTGAACTTGCATAGTTGGCTGCATTCATTTGTAGACTCTCTTTATATTAAATGGCAGTGTACACTATTCTGATACGTATAATACACAAAATAATATCTTTTAGAATTATTATGCACAAGACATGCAGTACTGGATTTATACATTGGATCCCAGGATGTGTTTGATTAGAGAAAAAAAGTTGGAGTAGGCATGTTGGGTAAAAGGAACCACAAATTATATAACATAGTAAACACACATCTAATTTGAAGGGCACTGTGGGGTCAACACCATTTAAAAAATTATTTATTTAAAAATATATTGTTGGAAGTATTACATATGTCCTCCTTTTTCCCCTATTGGCCCTCTCCAGCCTGCCCCTGCCCCTGCCCCCCACCCCAGGCCTTCACCACTCTGTTA